AACATCGCTTTACTTCCACAATGTAATTTTTATGATCACTACCATTCGTAAAACTTCGGATTCTATCGGCATTACCATGTGGCATTCTGATTGGTTAATGGAATTATTGACCCATCGGGTCAAAGGACACGTCACAAACATCATGGCGGGCTGTCTTTTTTTTACCGAAGCGATCGAGTGATCAAAAATATCCACTCCCGATAAAACTAAGTCAAATCTGACATTTATTCCTTATCAAAAATGCGAAGTAACATTTTTTGCTTGGCATTATGACTGTGTAAGAGGAATTATTGGTATAATACATGTAGGTGTATAACATCGCGAAGTAAGTTATGTCACGTCGTAACGTTGAAAGTAAAATACTCCAAATAATGGTCGATTTTTTGAAGGAGAATGTATTTGGAGTAAATAAGATCGTGAAAATATTTCTGGCTGAAACGTTTCAAATGCGTTTTATTTAACTTTCTACAATAGACATTATTATTGCAACAATAATTTATTTGTTTCTGTTTTTTAGTCTGCAGCATTTGCATTTCGAATATATGTAATTTTTAAATTCAAATGTCTTAATTCCAAAAATATTTGCACAGCGACCGAATTCATTAATATTTATTGCTAATTAATATTCATACAGATCATTAATATTCATGACCGACCGGCACTCACGTTGGGCTGGCGAGATCCCTGTGTACTGTAGAATTTATTTTCGCTATTTTCGCTGAAGGGATGATTCCGTGAAAATAAAATCCAGCGAATATACTTTTTTTCCTATATTTCACATTAAACTCATCAAAAATCAGTGAAAATAAATTCCATACAAAACTCCCAAAAAGCCTTTTCAGCGAAAATTAATTCCAGCGAAAAATAAAGTATTCCACAGTACTTTATACATATTAGAAATGCATGTCAATGACATTTTGTTTCAAAATCTGGTCAATGGATGGCCGATTGACAGCTATCTGACTTTCTGGCCTTACTACTATATTTCCACAATTTATGTACCATTTTCATTCGTGTTTGGCACATACATCATACATATCAGTGTGTTTCATAATCAGATCAAAGATGGCCGAGTAACGGCTGTTTTTATTTTTGGCCATATTACTACTACATGGAACACGTGTTTTGATGTAAATAAACAATCTGTTGTATACGCCACTTGGAACTCAAGTTTGAAGAACACGCTTGCGACAGCCCCCCCCTTTAATATGATGAGCACAAAGCAAACTTTCAAAAATTTTACGGGGACTGTGTCATTTTCAATGACTTATAAAGTGTGAAATTAAAGCTGATACCTGCATGAACCATGCAATAGAGATGATAGCTTTGAAGAGACATGCTGCCATCTTATTGTAAATTTAACCTTTATCACCACCAGATCCCTTTTTTCATCACAAATTCACAAAATAATCCTGTTATAGTCTGCACTTTCCTTTGAAGATTGGAACAAAAATAGCAACATTTTTTGAGTTGAAAACGAAAATTGACTCAAATTTTGTCTGTTGGCTCCAAAATTAGGGTTCATTTCCAAAGATAAAGAATAATATAAGAAAAAAGTACAGAAAATGTGGACAAGAACGTCTGGTGGTGAAAAGGTTAATCTACAAAGTAAATTATCATACCCTGTATTAAATACTAGTCAATATCTTTCTATAAATTGATTAAAGATCTTTTTCAATTCTTAGCAATTAGACTTGTAGGATTTCTCTAGAAAATAAAAGTTGAATTCAAACAGTAGGGATTCATTTCTGCCGCAAAAGGTATTCTTCTTTTATGGTTTATAAACTATTTATGTGCACCTATGAGCAGAGCTTATTTTTCTAGCTTTAAATATTTCTGAGCTGGTACTCAGTAACGGCCATTTTAATAGGTGGGGCAAACAAGAATACAACATTTTAACATAAATCACTAAAAACAATATATCGTTTTTGATATCACCACATTTTTTGAGTATATGCCAGAGACGATTTTTGCATTCATTCCAAAATGTTTCCCTTGTATAGAGTAAACAACATGTATGAGGTATTCTTGTAATAACCTTATTATTACGGTATACATCTTTTCCTACCAAGGATGCATCATGGAATGCCGAAATCTAAAAATTTAGAACAGAATCAGCGAACTTCTTTATATGGAGTTCGGTCAAACCCTGGTGGCAGCCATGTTTGTTTTTATTATTAGAGGACGCTTACGCACATATTCCATATTTGGAATACGCATTTCCTAATAGAATGAAAATACCTTGTAAAATACTGCAAAATTACGGCACGCTGTAACTTATGGTGTTACGGTGACAGATGTACATGTATAATAATGAAGGCTCCACAACAGTTGATACAATCATTGCACTGACTTTGTGTATACTTTTTTTTGTGACAACCTATAAAGTATTCCTACGAATTCTGATTTTAATTTAAGCCTACTTTCTATCTACATTTAAATACTAGTAGTTTAATTAATTTAGC